GCTCTCAGCTCTCCCTGGAGCCTTCTCTTGTCCAGGGGAACCCCCCCAGCTCTCCCAGTGAATTCCTCTTTCCCGCCTTGCCCAAGCTCTCCGTGTTCCCTCGTTCCCACAGGAATGCTGGGGACAGGAAGGAGAACCAGACCCCGAAGCACCGCTCCAGCTCGTCCAGCCCCAGCCGGCGGCGGTACCGCCCGGGGGGCTCCGGGTACCCCCTGCGGCGCTTCCGCTCCCGCTCCCGGAGCCCCGGGCGCTTCCGCCGGCCCCGGAGCCGCAGCCCCCCCCGGTACCTCCGCCGGCCCAGCCCCCGGCACCGCTCCCGCTCCCCCCAGCGCTCCAGGAGCTCCCTGAGGCCCAGCTCCCGCTCCCACCGCTCCTCCAGCTCCGAGCGCTCCTCCCGCAGGTCCAGCCGCTCCGAAGGTACGGGTGACCATGGCATGGGCATGGGCATGGGCATGGGCATGGGCATGGGGACACACCACCAGAGCCGGACCTCCTGGCACTTCGGGAGCGCCCAGCTGCTTTCCAGAGGTTTCCCTGGAAAATCCCAACCCGGGCTGCCTTCTCTGTGTGCTTCCAGAGCTGTGAGAGGTTCTGCGGGACAGAGGTCCAGGTGGGAAGTTGTGAAGGGACAGGCAGGTTCCAGGAGCTTTGATAAGGGTAAAATACAAACCGTGGAAGTGGAGGAGGGGGAGAAGCAACGAATAACCAAAATGTGAATTCTCCACAGAAAGCCAGCAGACAGGAAAGTATTGTTGTAGCAGCTCGTTAAAGAATAATTAAAAGCAACAAAGAGCAAGAGAAGGAGGCAGAATTTAGCAGAAGGCACCAAGATAGTAAGTACTGCTGGGCCTCAGTGTGAGAGAGGAGCAGAGGCTTCAAAAATCCCTCTTTTCCATTCCCTGACATAGAAAATTAAACGATATTTTGCATTTTCTCGTGTCCGGCCCTCGGGATTTTTGTAGATGTTGTTTTGGAGTGTCACATCCTGAGGTTTATTAGTATTTACTGTGAAGGTTCTCTAAGCTCAGGCAGTCTCAGGGTTGGCTCAGGAGTGGGCGGTGAAGCTGAGACTGTAGGAAAGAACAGGAGTATCTGTAAATTGTGTTTAGGGATAAATCCAACCCCCCTGGTTTCCCTCCCTCACAGACAGAAAGGCAGCACTCGAGGCCGTCATGAAGACCCTGGGGCCTGAGTTCCTGGCAGAGTTCAAGAAACACAAATCACTTCAGGCAGCTGTGCAGGGATCCTTGGGGTCGGGAAGATCCTCATCCACTCATGGACCCCCGGGGAAGGTGTCTGGGAGCGTGAAGAAGCCTCTGAAGACAAGTGCTGCTCCAAAGGCTCCCAAGAAGGACGGGTCTGCCGCGCCCGGGCCGAGTTCTGCCTCGTCCAAAACGGAGGAATCAGCCCAAAACAAGGAGGGGGAAGAGGATGAGGAAGATGAATCCGCAGGGAGCAGCAAACCTCAGTCTGCTTCTTACAACAGGGTGAGTTCCTGCGGGTTTTCTCTGCTTTTTAAGGGCTTGGTTGGTGTTTCCCTTCGGGGGGTCACTGCCAGGGTGACCCATTCCATGCAACACTGAGGTCTGCTGGCTGCAGGGAAGGGTGGGGATCCTGGAATCATGGAATGGTTTGGGCTGGGAGAGACCTTGAAGCCCATCCAGTCCCACCCCCTGCCACGTGTAGGGACACCTCCCACTATCCCGGGCTGCTCCAAGCCCCGTCCAGCCTGGCCTTGGACACTCCCGGGGGTAGAGACTGAGGCAGAACAGCAAAACAAGGAGGCTGTGGTGAAACCCCTGACTTGGGAAGTGTCTGTTTCCCTTCCGTGTCCCGTGTGCAGCTGCTGAGGGAGGACCTGCTGAGCTGTGGGACCGTCCTGCAGATCTCGGACCTGCCGGACGACGGGTTTTCGGATCAGGACATCAAAAAGCTGGTGCAGCCCTTCGGCAAAGTGAGCGACCTGATCGTGCTGCGCTCCAGGAACGAGGTGAGCGGGGCAGGGAACCAGCCAGGCAGGGAACACGAGGGGCACGGGGAACCTCAGGGCAACGTGGGACACGAGGGGCACGAGGGGCACGGGGAACCTCAGGGCAACGTGGGACACGAGGGGCCCGAGGGACACGGGGAACCTCAGGGCAACATGGCACTAATGACAAACTGCTGAGAAGCTTTAAGATCACACGTGTAATCTGGGAATAGCTGGAACTGGGAAACTGATACAAATTCAGACCCTACATTATTTTATTTTATTTTATATACATATATATATATGGGGGGTGTGTATATATGTGTATATGTATATATGTATATGGTTTATACATATAACTTATAGATTCTTAATATATATTATGTTGTATATTATATATGTACTATATGATATAATACATATAATATATATTATGTTGTATATTATACTATGAAATATATATAATATATAATATATCATGTCTTTATCTATTTACATGTATTTAATTTTACCTATAAATTATCCATTAGACATTATATATAATATAATACATTATAGATTACATAGAATGTATACTTTAGTACCTATAATGTATATTATGTATAATATTTAATTTTACCTATAAATTATGCATTGTACATTATATATAATATTATAATGCGTTATAGATTACATAGAATGTATACTTTAATATCTATAATGTATATTATGTATAATATTTAATTTTACCTATAAATTATGCATTAGACATTATATATAATAACATAATACGTTATAGGTTACACAGAATGTATACTTTGATATCTGTAACGTATATTATGTATAATTATAACTTATTTCTGTGTCATTTTCCAATTATTCTGTTTCATTCCCCCTGGGCCGAGGCAGCTGGAGGCAGTGGGGTGGTTCTGGTGTAACCCTGACCTCCAGACTCGCCCGTCAGATCCCACACGGGTGGAGCACCCCCAGCTCCACGAGCACACGCTGGCTGGGGAGGGATCCCAGGGAGCCGTCCCCTGTGCCTGGCCCAGTCAGAGCAGGAATTCCCTGTGTTCCAGGCCTACCTGGAGATGAACTACAAGGAGGCCGTGATCGCCGCCGTCAAGTTCGGGGAGACGCAGCCGGTGCTGCTCAACGGGAAGCGCATCCGGATCAGCGTGGCCGAGAAACCCCGGGCACCCCCCGGCCAGGTGGGAGCCAAACACCCCAAACCGGGCTGGAATTCTGCTCCAGGCACCCCGGGAAACACAGGGAGGGGGCCAGGTGGGAGCTCACCCCCCAAAATGGGCTGGAATTCTGCTCCAGGCACCCTGGGAATCACAGGGAGGGGACCAGGTGGGAGCTCACCCCCCAAAATGGGCTGGAGTTCTGCTCCAGACACGCCGGGCACCCCCCGGCCAGGTGGGAGCCTCACATCCCAATCCAGGGTCACACCCCAAACTGGGCTGGAATTCTGCTCCAGACACCTCAGGCAGCCCCCGGCCAGGTGGGAGCCTCACATCCCAAACTGGGCTGGAATTCTGCTCCAGACACCCCGGGCACCCCCCGGCCAGGTGGGAGCCTCACCCCCCAATCCAGGCTGGAATTCTGCTCCAGGCACCCTGGGCACCCCCCGGCCAGGTGGGAGCCAAACACCCCAAAGTGGGCTGGAATTCTGCTCCAGGCACCCCAGGAAACACAGGGAGGGGGCCAGGTGGGAGCCTCACATCCCAATCCGGGCTGGAATTCTGCTCCAGACACCCTGAGCACCCCCCGGCCAGGTGGGAGCTCACATCCCAAAATGGGCTGGAGTTCTGCTCCAGGCACCCTGGGAAACACAGGGAGGGGGCCAGGTGGGAGCTCACATCCCAAAATGGGCTGGAGTTCTGCTCCAGGCACCCCGGGCACCCCTTGGCCAGGTGGGAGCCTCACCCCCCAGTCCAGGCTGGAATTCTGCTCCAGGACCAGGTGGGAGCCTCACCCCCCAATCCGGGCTGGAATTCTGCTCCAGACACCCCGGGAAACACAGGGAGGGGGTCAATGGCTTCAGCTGCAGAAACAGCAGCTTAAAAAAATCCACGGGAAGTGCTCTTCTCCATTCCAGAATTCCCCTGCTTTGGTAAAAATGGATATGCAAGTGCACTCCCTCGTTCCAGGTTTGCCTTTTCCGTGGTTAAATCTGGGATGCAAATGTGTGAATGCTGATGGAGATCTGTGAATAATAGCAGTTTAGCAAGCAGTGAAAGATGCCAGCTGTATTTATATATATGTTAAATACTATTAATTATTAATACTGCTTTTAAGAATAATCCTGTTTATATGTGTGTGTACGTCTACACAAACAGATTTGTAAAAAGTATAGACCATATGTGAAAAATAACAGCTGAACACTGAAGAACACAACCCATATTCTATATACACTTAACCACTATTGATAATTATTAATGATTTTTATGTGGCCACACATATTTACAAATAAAGTCCAAGTGCTGCAGTCACTGATTTTCTTTCCATTCCAGGTCAAAAAGACCATTAAAAAACGAGTTCTGACTGTTAAAAAAACTTCAGCAAGTACCAAGTGAGTGTTGCCTTTGCATAAATTAGAGTTAATGATAATGGCTGGGAACCAGATGGGCTCATGTCTGTTTGTGGGGTTTTTTCCTGGGTTTGAGCTTTTTAAAGCTGTTTTAATATTTGCTGATTGTCTTTAAAACTGATTATTTTTTGTTCTCCTAATAGAAAAGTTCCGACCACCAGCACCAAGACCCCCAAACCCCTGACAGGTGAGACTGGGGGGAGGGTGTCTGTTGTCTTTATTAGTTGATTTATTTTATTGCCTTTCCCGAGCAGGTCTCACTTAGGGAGCAGCCGTGATTTCTGTGGGAAATCGTGGTTTTTACAGATTTATTGATTCATTCCTCAGCACCTTTGTGGGGCTGAACTGCTGGGTTAGGTGTTGGGTGGGTTTTTTGGTCCCATCAGTTGAATTGCTGCAGATTAAACTGTTTTTTGTGTGTATATTGTACATATGTGTGTCTATTATTGTATGTGTAATGTTCTATTTGATTGTTATATTTTATTTCTATTATACTTTATTATTATAATCACTTTCCATCTTTTATGGTATTATTATATTATTGCATGTATAATGTTTTTTTCTTCACAGTAATATAATATCAATGTTACTATAATATTGATAAGCAATATTTGTCTCAACAATTAATTTATTATTAGCATGCATGTGTAATATTGCTATTTTACTGTAGTATGTGTATAATATTTGTTGCATGTATAATACTTTATACTGGTTTTAAGTTACATATAATCAGCATTTCCCCTGACACCTGGTTTTGGGGTGTTTTTGTAGGCAAAAAGGAAAAGCTCAAGAAATCAGCAGTGCCAGGAGAACGAAAGGTGAAGAAAACTCCAAGTGCTGCAGGTGAGAGGAGGGGGGACTTTCCCTCTTCCCTGGGGAAGCAGGAGGTGCTTCTCCCTTCCCAGCACAGCCATTCCAGGCTGGCAGTCCAGGTGTCCTCACCTCTCCTGGCCTTACCCACCGGTGGATCATTCCACAGGCAAACACCCTCCCTGCAGGGGTTGTCAGGGCTGTTTGTAGATGGGGAATAGCCAAAAAACCAGGGAAGTGGGCGAGTTTGGGACAGAGCTTTCCCTGGGTGTCCATTTCCTGTCCGTGTTTGAGGAGGAGCAGGGATTTGTTATTGGGAGGCCTCTGAGTATGTGACAGAAGATGCACAGTGCAGCTCGTTCTGCTGCTGCAAATGGGTTAACTGACCTGTAGAAACAAAAAATGCCTTCTCCTGCTGGTCCCTGCCAGAAGCAGCTGAGGATGGAGATCCCGAGCCCTCGGCAGAGCCCGGGATGGAAGCGGAGGAAGCGGAGCCGTCAGATCCACGGAGTGTCACGGAAGAGGATGGAATCCCAGAGCCTGCAGTGCCCATGGAGAGCCAGCCCAATCCCTCACCTGTGCCAGGTAACCCCGGCTCTGTTCCATGGGGGATGTGCAGTTGGACAGGGAGGTGTTTTATGGATTTATTTCTCAGGGAGCCCGTCCCAGCCCCCTCAGGCGCCGGCGCTGGATGTGCCTGGGGTTGATAAAGCTTTAATTAAACCAGGTAAACTGCAAGGTTGTCTTAAACCTCTCTGCTCCTGGGGGCTCCGTGAGCTGCTTTCCAGCCAGGCAATGGAAAGGACACGGGATTCCAGGAAATCAAATCTGTGAGAGCAGGTGCAGGGGCTGGACCAGAACCCGGGAGTTCATCGGGGTGGTGAAGGGGCTGAAAGGCCCCAGAGTGGCTGCAGCCCCCTGAGATTTCTGTGCTTCAGCAGCCAGGACAGTCCTGGCAGGAGTTGTCAGTGTGACTTGGACACTTGCCTGCCCCCCGTGGATCCAGGCTCTCGGGGTGCTCTGTGTGCAGCTCCACCTCTGATTTAATCCCGTTGGATCAGTCGTTCTGTCCTCCACATGTTCTGTAACTCATCCATAGCAGACTGGGTGTTAAACCCAGCTCAGGTGTGTTCTAATTCTCAGTTACTGTGCCTCAGATAGTACTGATAAGGAAAGGTCACAGAATCCTGGAATCATGGAATGGTTTGGGCTGGGAGAGACCTTAAATCCCACCCAGTTCCACCCCCACCATGGGCAGGGACACCTCCCACTATCCCAGGTTGCTCCAAGCCCTGTCCAGCCTGGCCTTGGACACTTCCAGGGATCCAGGGGCAGCCACAGCTTCTCTGGGAAATTCATTCCAGTCCCTTGCCACGCTCACAGGGAAGAATTCCTTCCCAATATCCCACCCAAATCTCCATTTTCCCAATTTGAAGTCATTCCCCCTTGTCCTGTCCCTCCATCCCTTGTCCCCAGTCCCTCTCCAGCTCTCTTGGAGCCCCTTTAGGCACTGGAAGGGGGTCTAAGGTCTCCCTGGAGCCTTCTCTTCTCCAGGCTGGACATTCCCACCTTGGACCTGTTCTTTCTGGGAGCATTTCCATAACACTGTCTGTGTCTCACCAGTTTGTCACTGTTAAATGAATATTTAATATTGATTTTTCACAAGGGGTAAAATGCAATGCAGGAAGTTCTTAAAGCTCTGAGGTGTTTAAAGAAACCTGAAGCACTGAACTCCTCCTTCCCTGTTTTCCAGAGCCTCCAGGAACGGGCACACCGGGCGAGGAGTCAGCAGATCCAGCCAGGAGGGTCAGTGTGAGGGTGGGAATTGCAGGAACACACCTGGAGCCATTTCCAGGTGTTGCTGTAGTGTCTGAAAACGTCCAGTTTAACCCCCTTCCTGTTGGTTTCTGGTGAGAACACGCTCCCAGAGTGGTTTGGGTGCGGAGGGACCCTAAGTGCCACCTAATCCCACCCCCCTCCAGGGACACCTCCCACTGTCCCAGGTTGCTCCAAGCCCCATCCAGCCTGGCCTTGGACACCTCCAGGGCTGGGGCAGCCCCAGCTCTGGGCAGCCAGCTGGGATTTAGGGTGGAAGGAGTGGCAGTGCCATATAAGGTGCCTCTGTGTCTTGCAGGACCTCGAGGACCTGTGTGTGGTCCTGGTTTCCAACCTGCCCGACAAGGGATATTCCGTGGAGGAAGTTTCCAACCTGGCAAAGCCCTTTGGAGGCCTGAAGGATATGCTGATTCTGTCCTCTCACAAAAAGGTATTTTCATGGGATTTGGTGGTGTTTCTGCCTGGAGGAGCAGCAGTGGAGTCTGTAAGGAGTGCAGATGAGGTGCAGGAGGCATCCGTGGGAGACGCCTTTGATAAATTCCGGTTTTCCTTTAAATGTTTGTTTTTCTCTCAGGCATATCTGGAAATCAACAGGAAAGCTGCAGATTCCATGGTGAAGTTCTACACCTGCTTCCCCATGTCCCTGGATGGAAAGCAGCTCTCCATCAGCATGGTGCCTCAGTACCAGACTGTCAGGGATGAAGTGAGTGAGGGAATCCAGGGAAGCTCCCGCTCAGCTGGGGACACTTCCCTTCGGAGCAGGATGCTTTTGTTGAAGATGGATTTTAAACACTGCCTGCTGTTTAAAACAAGGGGTTTGTGCCACTGCAGACTGATCCTGTTAAATGTCCTTGGGATGCTGGTCTGGTGTGAGAGGAGCAGAGGGGCAGGGAGGTGTTGGTTTGAGTAATAAAGCTCAAATTAATCGTTTGTGGGGAGTCAGTGGCTGTATTTTACAGCTCAAATCTTACCTTTTCTCTTTCTTCTTTTTAAAGGAAGCCATATTTACTGCCCTGATTAAAGATTCTGACCCTCAGGTGAGTTACTCCCAACCTCTCCTCCACATACTCTCAAATCCCTTAATTTGATTGGCATTGGTGTCCTTCCTACTGAAATGTTGGGAACTGAACTGTTGTCTCAGTTTCCTCTTGAGTTAAATGTTCCCTGGGAGCTGGGGATGAACAGACACAGCATTTCTGTACAGGGCAGGTACAGCTGAGTTAAATTGTACTTTTGTTTCTGCTGGGAAAAGCATTTCCAGGCTGTTCCTGCTGGAGGGTCAGGCCCTGGGGATGGAGGGTCAGTCCTTGGGGATGGAGGGTCAGGCCCTGGGGATGGAGGGTCAGTCCTTGGGGATGGAGGGTCAGTCCCTGGGGATGGAGGGTCAGTCTTTGGGGATGGAGGGTCAGGCCCTGGGGATGGAGGGTCAGGCCCTGGGGATGGAGGGTCAGTCCTTGGGGATGGAGGGTCAGTCCCTGGGGATGGAGGGTCAGTCCTTGGGGATGGAGGGTCAGGCCCTGGGGATGGAGGGTCAGGCCCTGGG